CAGAGAGGGGGGCTACAGGCACCAAACCTGACCTGAACTAGCACAAGATCGTCCTGTTGTCCATCTGGCCACGACTATGACTGTAAAGTTTGGAAGGGAGAAGCTGGACTTTGCATCTAGTACCGTGGGTCTAGTACAAGGTCAGGACCATAACATAAAACCATAATTTACTAATTACTGCTGAAGTTTGGTAAATGGGAACTGAGCCCAGCGGGAGCGGATGGAACTGCTAGTGACACTTGTTTCAAAACTGGAATTCTGCCCCAGAAAGTGCCCCTGATCCCATGGTTACTTTTCTGTGTTCTGCTGCTTCCCCAGCTACTTGAGGCTTTTATTTTATCACTCTCTCTTCTAGTATCTAGTATCATTACAAGTTTTTGTGTGTGCGTTCCTTTCTGTGCGCTCTCCATCATCGTGGCTTTTCTGGGTTTCTTTTCTTAACCTCACTATTCTCAGAACTACGTGCTTCCTGTTCCTACAGCGCAGGCATGATATTTTTTGGCCATGTTCTTATCTGTAATGCTAATATTTACAGGAGTGACTTGGAGTTGCCCTTGGCATAGTTTAAACAACTTCTGGTGACTCAACTTGTTCATTTCAAAGATGAAACTAAAAAAATAACTTGGAAGCAGAGTCTAGGAATGCTGAGCTAGGAAAAGTGCACCAAATCATTCACTTGGGTTAAATTTTAATGACGGTTATAAAACCTTTTGTGCTCTACTGCAAAGACATTTTTCTTTTCAGTTACGTGTTTGTAGTTCTAAAATATAACAAAAGAAAACAGTCTCTTAAAGATAAGATGGGATATTCTTTACAGAGGAACTATGGGGTAATGTAAGTTTTTGAGTTTTAAGGATATGTATTAGTAGGATATGAAAATAAACACAGCTGTGCCTTGCAGCTTCTCACAACCTGCTAAGACTGATTCTGTCGGGAGATCTCTTGGTAACCCCATTGTGTTCTTCATTGCAATACAACTTCCCTAAGAGACGCAAACATGCACGAATACACTCAGGCAAAACCTGGCCTACTAAAATACAGCTTTCTTCCTTGATGGAAGATGAAAACTAGTTTACTGTAACTTCCCAAATCACTTCTATGGGACAAATAAAATGCGGCCATTGCTTTTTAGACCTGAATGTCTGGCCCTTAAGTCTGTAAGCATGGTGGCTAAATCAAGCTGCTTTGGATGTAGGATTGGAGAGAGGGGGAAGTTTTGCAAGAGAAGATGAGATCTTCTAAAATTAATTTACAGAACAAATAAGGTATAGGAGACCTTACATTTTCCCTTTTTTTGTGTATGTTTTTTCCTACATGCCACCAGCAGGACAGAGGATTTATCACCAGGTGCATCACTGCTGAGCACATATCCCTGCTATAGCAGGGGCACTGAGGTTTGCATGCTGAAGGACGACCTTCCCCTCTCCTTGGGGTTCTTTATCAGTACTTCACCTACTTGCAAGAGCACCTGGAGTTACTCGGGGAGACCTAATCTCCTTGGAAAAAGAGGCTGGTGAGCTGTGAGCCTCAGCAATAGCAGGAGCTCTCTTTGAGGGCCTTCTCTCCCTCTGGGTGAGGGTCTGAGGCCTTGAGGAAGCTAGAGAGAGAGAGCTCTGCTAGAGAGGGAAGCTAGAGAGTTGGTCGGTGGGAAAAATGGAAGTGCTCAAAGATGCCGGCAATGGGACAGTCCCACATGGAGAAGGGGCTATTGCTCAGTCGTGTCATTTGCGTTGTTTGGACAGGCTGCTGCCTCCTTCCGAGCGTTCACGTGTCCTGCGGTGGAAGAGCTGAGCTGAGCGCGCTGAGAAACCACAGCTGCCGGCTCCTCACAGATAGTCGGCCAGCCTAGCCCGGAGGAAATGGATGACAGCGAGCTGCATGCTCTGTAGAACAGCAGATTAAAATGGTTTTCTGCTTCATTTTTTTTCTAAAGCTGGTAGATGTCTCCAGAAGCATGTGTCCAGTCCCCTGCTTTGCCTGGGACTTCCCCGGGGGTGAGTTTCTGCAGGCAGCAGGGCAGCTCTGGGGAGCCAGGCAAGAGCGACCCATGGGACGTGTGGAGAGCTGCTCTCTGACCCAGCAGCCGATGCTTCCTGGAGGGGACATGTTCTTCAGTGAGACGCGGTCGGGTTTCTTGGACCGCATCTCCTCGCCTAGCTGGGCTTCTCACGGATATTTTGGTGTCAGGCGTGGCCTCAGGTAGCCTTCGTTTAAAGGGGAACAGAAAGGTCTCTCTGCGCAAGCAGAGTCATTTGTAACCAAGAGTTGTTGATCTGCAGCAGCTGCTAATGGAGAAGCTCAATTCAGGTACTCTCTTAACTTTCTCATGAGTTTAACTTCAGTGACAGCTCTCTTGTTTGTTGTTAGGGCAGTCAATGCAGTAATAATGCAGCAAGTGCCAACGTCCTTCGTTTCTCGAGTATCTTTTTGTGTGGGAGTCCTAATATGATAACGTATGTCACTTTAGAGTTATGAGTATTATCAAAAGTAGTGGAGTGGCTTCCTCATCTAATGCTTGCATGTCCACAAATTGCTAATGTGAATGGAACTTGCAAGATATTTTCTATCCATAAGTATCTCTTGGCTGCTTATAGGGGAAGTTGATAATCTGCAATTTCAGAATTTTGAGAGAAAAAAGAGTTGAATGATTCATGTGCGAAACTTGGAATGCTTGTTTCATCAGCTGTCAGTCCAATAACTGAAAAATACTGCTTGTTTCTTCCCATATTACCTAACAGCTCTATTCTTACGTGACCCCCAGGCAATCAGCTCTGTTACAGTGACGCAGAAGCGCAGGACAGGATCAAGCAATACTAGAACTTCTTAAAAGCTCAAGTACAGACTCCTAAAATTCTTTCATGTGCAAATTTGTAACTGCTTGCTCCCCTCTTATCCTTGGCTACTGAGGAGGGTTTATCTGGGGTCTGCATTTCTAGGCTTTATTCCCCTGTGGAATGGAGCCTACGTTAGGTAAGGTGGGAACAAATTACCACACTGGCCACGTTCTGGAGTGATGGTTGAAGCATTTAGTATCAACGTATATGCAAGTGTCAACCCATGCAGAAGTTTCAGGATTTTTAATGCTAAGCTGTGATTTGGTCAGAGGTCTCAATATTTCTGATTTAGTCATACTGGAAATGACTAAAAAATTACAGAAAGTCCATTCCAATGGCGGTCACCTCTCTTCCTCCTCTCCAGTGGCTCTACTGCCTTGCTGTGCCAAGGGCTTGAAGCAAGAGGTGCGGGGAGGACGTGGGACCGGCACTTTGTTTCCCCCTGTGCAACTGCCCAGACTGGCGCTCCCAGCAGTGTCCCTTGCCCCGAGAGGAGGGTTCCCAAAACTGAGGTCTGGCTCTTGCGGCTGATGACTCAGTTAAAATATTGAGTTAAAGAACGTAAAGCTTCAGTCCATTTCCAGGAATACTTTGTATGTTAAAACACTACCCTTAGCATGTAGCCCCATGATGAGGTACTCTTTTCTTAGCCAAATACGTATATTCATGTTGGTGCAACTTTGAAATCTGTTGACTAAATTACAAATGCTTTTGCAGGTTTAAAAAATGCTGATGATGGCAGTGATACCTTTCTAAACTTTTTAAGGCTGCAAGTTTTTGTACCTTTTCTTCCTACAGTAAACGTTAGAGCAATAATGTAGTCGCACTCCTGCGAGCAAGCTTACTTGCTGCTCAGAGTGATTCGCATGCTTCAAGTTCAGTGTTTCAGCTGAATCATTTGCTAAACTTTTGTGGCATCAAATCTGTCTCCTGAAAACAAAACTTCATCTGTGGAATCAAAAAAAAAGTATTTAAATGTTTTTTTTTAAGGGATTTTTAGTATGTTAAAGTTAAATCTTCATTAGTAATAATCACAGAATCACAGAAGGGTTGAGGTTGGAAGGGACCTCTAGACCTCTAAAGATCATCTAGTCCAACCTTTCCTGCTCCAGCAGGGATACCTGCTAGAGCAGGGATATTTAGACTTAAATCACTAACTGTTTTCTAAGTTCCCTGAAACTAGCATGACATGATCTGCTAGTCTTTTTCATTAATTCTGAGTATTTTAAATACAGCATTTCTTACTAATATAAAATCTCTGCTAGTCCAAATCTGAGATTTTTATGTAATGAATAATTTATATCTCTTTTTACAGGTGTGTTTTATGGTAATAAAATAAATAAAAGTAACTTCCAAAATGTCTAGCTCTTCAGAAAAAGTAATTCTAGTTGTGATAGCTACATAGATTAAATTCTTCTATCTTAATTCTTCGTGTGTGTATGTAACCAGGGGTACTGTTTCAATTCACTCTTTCATCAAAATAAACATTCCTCTCGGGAGATGGGAGTGAGACCGTTGTTCTATATGCAGGCTATAGGGTTACATCTGTTTTTCTTTCCTCTTGGGCTTGTTTAAGTAGAGTTTAAGTAGAGTGTGGTGATTCTTCCTCCAAAGGCTTTGGTGTGTTGCAAGTTCACTATTGTGTAGATTCAGGTGTTTGCAGCTCCTGCTTTAAGGGGCAGGTTTCCTTCCGAGCGCTGCCTGAAGTTTTGCTTTCTAGACACAGCTGTGAACCCAGGAGGTGCAGCAAGCAATTCCAACAGGACCCGGAAAACTAAGGACACGGCTGAAATTTAAGGAGTTTATTCCAGGAGAGGAGGACTTGGGCTCCGGTTGCTGATCTATATAATCCTTGTATTTCCTGTGAGGAAGGGACTGCCATTTCACCAGTGTGACTTCGTGTTGCATAAGTGTGTTCAGTGCTACTCTAGCACTTCTGTGGCTTAGCAAATGTTCCCCAGCAAACCCCTTAGGGGAATAAATAAGGAAACTTTGTAGTTTCCCTTTTTCAACTAGTTCCCCTTTTCTGAGCACTACTTTGAGAAGTGCAGCAAGTTCCCTCCTGCTCCATATTCTCTTCTAGGCTGTTTCTCAGGATGTGTATGATGTTTTCATGCATTTTCARCAAATGGGAACAACGTCACAGGACTCTGTGCTTTATTTTAGACTCGGGCTGTGACTCTGTGACTGATACGGAGGCAGAAGACGAGAAGAACCCAACCTACTCCTCCACACTTGCCATGAATGAAGAGCATGGGTCRTCCAAGAGCACGGGGGACCATCCAGTGGTGCAGCCTGACCATATACGTTGTGGGGTACTGTATGTCTGCTCCTCAACAGTGTTCATGTTGTAGGCTGATGAAACTCCTTATGCACATCTTTAATGCACAGCATTACTGGAATGGCTAGTAATCCCTTATTCCCTCTCTGCCACCTTCACTCAYAGCCCTTGTTTTCAGTGTCATTTGCAAGAGCTGACTACCCTAACCTGAGTGAACAGCTAGGTGTTGTGCAGGGCCCAGTGTTTTCCAGGCTGCAGTGTCATTTTTTTTTTGACAGTCTCATTAATCTCACTTTGTCTTGTGTGTTGTAAGGCAGGTTCACACTCTTGAATACCCCTCTGGTAAGATTTTGAGGCAGAAAGTGAACCAAGGTGAYTGCAGTGAACCAATTAACACCAGAAACTAAATGCAGTCTAATACAACAGTTCTGGTGCATGTCATGCAAAGAGCTTGCATTATGGTTTCCTGTCCAAGCAACAACATTTCTTAGTGTAGCATCTCCAGACAGAAAACTGTAATACCACGTGCCAGGAGAAAAGCGTGTGGCACAGGCAACCTCCCCTCCTCTGCAGTGTACTTTCCAGTCAGTGTAGCTTGGATTTTCATTGCACAGTTTTGAGGTGTGAAGCACTAGTGTGGGAGGGACTGGTCAGGAAATGTTAAAGCTAACAGTTCAGCAGAGGTTCACTGAAGTGTGACGACTGCTTTACATTATTTCCTCCTCATGTGATTGTGGCAGGGGCAGATTCAAGCTCCAGTACACTTAGGCAATGTTGTATATTTTTCCCCTATTCATATCAGTTTTGCTACTTTATGGGATTTGCAGTTTCTCATGGCATTTTTTCTAAAGCACCAACTAAAGGAATCGTATAATTCAGGAAACCTCTGCTTTTACTTGAAGTGTGATCTTCATGATATGCTGACAATGAGATTAAAAAAAAAGAGGAGGGGAGGTAAACAAGAAGGCTTAATTCAAAAGCAACATCCTGCCTCACTTCTGGTTTTGCAAAGGCCCTCTGGAATGCTATTGGCTATACTCTTAAGTTAGTCTACAATTAAGTAGCACACATTCTGCTGCAGGGAAACAGCAGAGAGAGTAACAAGCCTGAAAATGGCCGTTAGAYCTTCCCTCCTGTCTTGGCAGGTGCTGAACGTGATAAAAATGACTCTGTGATTCCTGTAGTCAGGTACATGGGTTCATTGTGCAGCCTCAGTGTCTGCCCTGCAGCGAGCTGGGTGTGCACTGCACTGCAGCCTGTGGCTGGAGTCACAGCTGTGTTGTGTGGGGCTGCCTGGTGGTTTCTGAGWATGAGCCCCAAAGCATGGAGCAGATCTGCTTTTGAGGTGTTATCTGTGAGGAACGAGGACTGAAAGGCAGTAACTGCCATTTTAGGAAGTATCCTTTCCTGAGCAATCCATGTGGTAACTTAGGAGCTGAGCCTAGCAAAGGCATGCTGGAGAAGTCAGCCAGTTCCTGGATTGCTTCAAACTTAGCAAAATTGTTTGCTTTTAAGCAAAGTGAATCTACCTGAATAGAAAACAGAAAAGTGGATCTACATGATTTTTTTTTTCTATCAGCTCTATCAGCTCTAGTTGCCTGACCATAGGAATACTAGTGTATCCCTGTGTATTTGTTGGGCATCYGTTACTGCAATCACTTCACATGTTTTCATGTTTTGGTTGCATATCTTGATTTTTCTTAACTTCCTTGCTGGTGGAATTTTTTCAGTGCTATAAATTGACAGATGTGAACAAAGTATGCTTTACAGTGACTGTGAGATAAGTAAAACTGTTCTGCCTTGGCTTGTCTGTGTTTTAAGTTAAAGATAAATATATTGACTTCAGCATGGCAAGGAGTATTTAGGAATGGAGTCCAGAGCTCAGGATAGAGCTGTTGAAGATCCTGGACTGAGATATTCAGAAACATTTGAGTTATCTACAGCTGCTGTGCTGCTTCTATTGGCCCAGGCAATGGTTATGTTCAGCATAACATTATRGGCATGAAAGTCTCTTCAGGTTTTGCTCAGACTAGTTTATGGTATTTGATGTAGTGAGCTGTGTGAGCAGCCACAGGTCTTGGTGATACTGAAAATCCTGATGGAATGAGAGCTGAGCAATAAGATACTTGCAGTACAGATGAGTATCACAAAAATGGCCCAGAAATATGCTCACTTGAATTCAAAGTTCCTTCCTTTTTGGAACTTTTGGAATGGAGCTCTGCTCTTTGAGGTTGATGTTGTTCAAAATAAATGGCAAGTTGGATATGGCAAATTCTGCTGTTAYAGAATTTGTCAGCTTAATGCCTATGCTGGTACAAGCTTGTAGARAGAAACCATCTATGTAGTTTGGAGTAGTTAACAGGAGAGCTGAAAGAAGCTCCTGARAACTACTCAGAACCATAGAGATGATTGATGATGATTTACTTCTTACGTTCTTACATTGTAAACCAATGCTTTTGCCTTAGGTGCAGACAACAGTTTATATTATCATGAAATGCAAGCTAGATGGGAAAGTGAAGACCGAAGTCGAGTTCTCTCCAGCGAATGCATCAACTGTGCGTGTGCCGGCCAAAATGGAGAATGAGTACACGGTCTCAGTGGAGGCTCCAAGTAAGCTGTGTTGAGGCTTTTTTCACTYCTTTCCTTCCTTTTATCTCTTAAGGTATCTGTCATGAAAGGTGCCAGAGCCGGGTACCAGGTAGGACTTATAGGAAAATCATAGGCCAGGAAATGCATGTCCCATCTGTGATACTTCTGTGGTGTCGAAGTGAGAGAAATTGCTGCTCAGGACCTCTAGTTTGCCACTAAGTAATGGTAGGGTAGCAGTGCAAAGGCATCTTACTGGCTGTTCAGAAAGCATATTAGAGCCTTCAAAGTACTATGCTTTTTTACCATCACCATATTAGTATTGGCAGGGTGTCAAGAGTGCCGGTAAATAATTTCATCACTATAACAACACATTTAATGTGTGAAGATCGGTGTGAGATCAGAGCTGAAACTGTTTATTCTAGCTTGCCTTTTAATTCAGAGTTGCTCTGTCATTGTACATACTTACGTTTACAGAAGTTTAGTTGTCTGAGCTTTAGATTCACAGAGTCTAAGGGTAAGATTTCAGAAGTTTTATAGGCTTTATAGTAGATTCCCAGGATGGTTTATTTRATCCACTTCGGCCTATGCTCTTGAAGACTCAAATGTGCCAGATGTGAAAACGGACTCCAATAGTCATTATGGCAACTCCCATGAAGTCAGGGATGTGGATGGATTTAAGGGAGATTATCTGAGCCAAGTAAAAATTTCAAATGAATCTGTTTTAAATCAAAATGTGTAATTTAAACATCAACCCAGTGAGCTAGCCATGATGTGCGCTAATATGGCTCTGAAAAAGGTGCTTCAAAAGTACTCTCTTACCTTGTGTTCAGACCAACATCTTTTSATGACTTTTCATGAATTCACAACATGAACCCTTCTGGTGTCTAGCTGACTTCTACACACTTTCCCTATCCTTAGATCACTTGATGAAGACTCATTCCCATTGTTTGTTCTTAATGGTGATTTCTTCTCTTTCTTTTCAAAGATTTAACTTCTGGAACAGTGTCTGTGCAGATATATTCAGGGGACTTGATGGTGGGAGAAACAAGCATCATCTATTATACAGATATGGAGGAAATCAGCRATCTGTTGGCTAATGCAGCTAATCCAGTGCAGTTTATGTGCCAGGTAATGACTCAACAGCTGCTTTGGAAAACAGCTGTTTCAGATGGCTGACAAGTGGATATAAGTAAAAACACCTGCTACATGATAGGGCTTCTGAGAAGAAGTAGTAGCAGAAAAAAAATTGTAAGGTTATTTTGTGGGTAGCCTAACAACATTCCCTTTTAGCAAATCATGATTAGAAAAAAATGGAATGACAGAACTGGACGATAACGGAAGTTTATGAAGAAATATATAGTTGGAAAAYGGTACCTAAGCTTTTTGGAAAAGATGTGAAAAGCTGGCAAAGATTCTGAATAGCTGAATGAAATAAAGTAAAATAAAACTGAATTTATTCTTGGTAACTATTTTTAAAGACAATCCTGACTTCTCATGGCATGTTTTGGACACTCTAAGGGAACACTTAACACTACTCTAGAGGAAAAGCTTTCATGARCAAGTTCTCTAGCTCTGATGCCTTTACTGCCTGTCTGTGTGTCCCTGATCAGCCACGGAGCAGATGCCTACCGAGTACTGATAGTCACCAGCAGAGCGGGGCTGATGAGTCKCCTCTCTTCTTTTTAGTTCAGGTTATAAAGCAATAGGTGCCTTTGTGCCTCTGCTTGGGAAATAGCAATGCTTGACAATCTTTGATTAAGAATTGGTTCCAAAAGCCAAACCCAGAGCATACATCAGAGTAATTCACAGTGAACAGGTTCCTACTTGGYGGAGGAATTACCCTTCATCTGTGGTTTCAGAAGGGAGATGATACTGATCAGGGAAGTAGGAAGTAATTGTCCTCCCTGCTTCCAGTTACATAACTGACTGTCTCCTTGCACTGTGATACTTGTTGTGTTTTCAGTTGCTTTTGGAATATAAAATCTCATCTATTCAGATCAGTGATACTTGCTGTTTCTAGACCAGGAAACTAGTGTAGCATTTTCTGATGCATGCTAAACAAACCTTACTAAATCAGCTTATAAATATCTACTTAACAGAACTGGGAAAAAAAAAAAAAAAAAACCACTTTCCATTTATCTCTAGGCCTTTAAAATTGTACCATACAGCATAGAAGCACTGGACAAACTGCTGACTGAGTCATTAAAGAAGAACATTCCTGCCAGTGGTTTGCACCTCTTTGGAATCAACCAGCTGGAAGAAGAAGATATGACAACAAGTAAGTTGTGAAGTTTCTTTTTTTTTTTTTTTCTTTTTAAACTTCCTCTTTAGCAGTTGTGTTACTTGAAGGTACCTTGGAGCTCCTTAACACTGCAGTGTTGCAGCACATATATAGGCTGTCTTGAAATGCTCGATCTCAGCCAGGAAGCTAAAATTCTGATACCTATAGAAGGGACTGCTTTTTTATTTGGGTCCCTTTTTACTACATGCATTGGTTTCATATCACTGCATGTGACAGCTGGAGCCATGTGGACAGCTTCAAACAACTAGAGTGAAAAGGCAGTGCCCTCCACCTGTCTTTTCCCTTTTCCTCCTTCCAGTGTGTGACATTTCTCCCCAGTTCCATGACTCTGCTCTAATTTGCAGAATGGACCCTTACTAGCTGGATAAGTGTGAAACCAGGGAACCTTACGCCTGGTTCCTGCTGGAATAATGATTTAGGGAAGAGTGGTCCCACATATCTCCCACTATTACAGTACAAGATTCCCTACTAMAGGTCGTAGAACTTAAAGCTGAAGATGCAGTAGTTACTCCTGATAGTTCATTTGTGCCAAGCWAGTTCCATTTTGTAATGGTGTAAATAATTCTCAGGGCTTTCACACCTGCTTTGGTCTGTGTCTTAGCTTGGAAGTCTTTCTCACCTGCTGTATCTGTTCTTACTAGAGAGAAGCTTAGATTTTAAATGGTTCTTTTTTTCCCACAGATCAGAGGGATGAAGAATTGCCAACATTGCTTCACTTTTCTGCAAGATACGGGCTGAAGAACCTCACTGCGCTGCTGCTTACATGCCCAGGGGCACTGCAGGCCTACAGTGTAGCCAACAAATACGGCCACTATCCGAACACGATAGCAGAGAAGCATGGCTTCAAAGACCTCCGGCAGTTCATTGACGAATACGTAGTAAGATTCCTTCTGTGCTCCCCTACAGCAGGCCTGGGAAGAGGCTTCTGCAGGGATGTGGTAGCTTCTGTTAGGCTTTTCTAACCCTCCAATCTGGTAAAAATACCATGTCCCTTCAACCTGCCTGCTTTAGGGAATAGTACAGGAAAACAGAGGATAGTTGTGTAGATGCCAATCCCAGATGGTTTTTGATTAGTCATAGTGTGATCTGCCTCTGCACACAAGGATGAATTGGGAGCTATACAGAAGAGCTAAATACAGGTCATTCCCTGTTCTGAGGTCAGGTGGCTGAAAAATTACCAATGTGATAAAAGTCTTTTGGTTGGGGCAAGTGTGAGATGCTTGGGACATCTTGCCAGTCTCTCATGGCTGGGTGGTCCTCTTCTGTCCTCTCCAGCACTGTGGCAGAGCGGGCCCTGCTTGCTGACCATCAAGGTGTCTATGTGCCTTAGTGCCAGGCCACACAAATGATGTGTCTGCTGTAGGGTAGTGCCTGGGAGCACTGTGTGTTTGGTGGCACTCGCATGGGGATCTGGAAATCCCAGGAGACAGTTTTACCCCCTTTTCTCTCTGGGGTAGGTTAATCTGTACCTCCCTAAAGCACAGCATGTCAAATGCTGACCCRCTTCGACTGTGGAGGGAAGTGTGTGTGGAAACATTGACGTGGATGCTGTGTGGACGGAGGCCCATGAGGTCGGAGGTGTGGATGGAAAGGAATATCTTGCTGTACAGCAACCAGCTAAGAGAGCAGTGCTCATGGCATAGTTAKGCCTTGGGGAAGAGGGAGGCTTCGTACTTGCTTTCTTGTGTGGCTTTGAAGGACCTCCCTCATGTTGCAAGTGTTTGAGAAACAGCTCTGCTATCCTGCAAACCAAGAGATTGCCTGTGTTGCAAGAATAGCTGCCTGCTATGAGGTTTCCTGTCAGACACTTGGTGGAGGTGGTCTGTGTACTCCCACTTGGGGTGTTACGTGCTGCTGCTATTGCCAAGAAATTGAAACTGAATCCAGAGCAAAGCTAACACTTTGCTTTCTTGTAAGTGCTGTGAATGTGGCAAGCTTTCTCATCGCTTCCCCAGAAATAGCATTTCACAGCCTTATATGTTCAGAATGAGCTTTGCTTATGTTCTAGGAGCTTGCAGATAGCAAGCAGGAAACAGAATTGGAGGAGGWGGAGGGAGGCAGTAATGGCTGCTCAGAATGTATCAGCTCCTCCTGGTTTCAGCTTCTCAAGGTGAACCTGGGGAGTTGCCATGTCGTTAATATTATAGCAATATTGGTTATTAATCTATCRTTTATTAGAGGAATTGGGATCTCTTCCCAGCCCACAGGCCCTACCACACTTTGTGTCTACAGTCATGGTGTAGATGAAGTTAAATGACCTATGTGTGACGCCTTGTTTCTTAAAAGCCATCTTGTATGGAAGCTTTTGACTATGCTTCCACCACTTGTTTTGCATTGTGGATCCATGTGATGGGAGTCAAGTGGCTCTTGTTCACATCCTGCTACTGGTAGGAGCACCAGGTTTACTTCTGYTGTGGTCCTGTAGTTTCATGATTTTCAATGTAGATCCTGAAAGCTGYGCCCAGACAGCTGTAATGGAAACTTAATATATTTAAAAATTCATGGTCTTTGAGAGCAGAATGCTTTTGGAAGGTTCCTTCCATTACTGATGGGAGAGAGATCTCCTGCTTTTCTTAGATTCTCTAGATTCCGTATTTAAAGGAGACTTGAACTTTTTTTTTTTCTTGCATTGCTTTCTTTCCAGGAAACTGCAGATATGCTCAAGAGTCACATTAAAGAAGAGCTGATGCAAGGCGAGAGGGATGAGTCTGTTTATGAGTCCATGGCTCATCTGTCCACTGACCTGTTGATGAAATGTTCCCTGAATCCTGGCTCCGATGAGGAGCTCTACGAATCCATGGCTGCCTTCGTCCCCGGTGCCCCAGAAGACCTTTGTACGTATGATCTTTGTGATGTGCCTCACTTGGAGGCTTCAGCTGCTTCGTCTCATACACATAGCAGAGCCCTCGCTGAGGTTTAGAGTAAGGGCTCGTTAGAGCTTTTCTGCAGTCACTCTAAGGAAGGGAGTCTCAGTTCTAATGTTGGCTAATTAAAATATGAGTTGCGTGAGCTTTGCCATAGTTTGTGCCAAAGCTTAGTTACATGCCTAGTAACACACCAGTGTGAGATGGGCCGCTCTTAGGCACTTTCTATGAAAACAGGAATAGAAACTGATAGTTTTGGAGTACCGTGAATGCTAGAGGATGCACAGTGTGTTTGGTGTGTGGGAAGCATGGGGGAGTAGAAGCAGATTAATAAACTTGCTCCTAATTTGAGACATTGATGAAAAGAAGGATGCTCCTTGTTGCAATTAAAGTCTGTGCATTATGATATGGACAAGGAAGTCCTCCTTCATATCATAAAGTCTGAGCTTCATGAGGAGGCTTCATCCCACAGGTATAGTTTATGATTTCCTCAATGAGCAGAGAGCCTAGCTTTGTTGTAACTTAGTGCCTGCATAAGGTTTCCAGTGTTTCTGCACTTTTAAGTATGCTGCCTCAGGAGAGAGGTTTTCATACTGAAAAGTTTTTTTTCTTGCTTATGGACTATATATGTTCTGGGCTGGTTTTATCTCACTTTCTTTTGATGAAATAACACTATAAAACACAGCTCTGTGACTTGTGGAGTCCAGGAGCTTTTGCTGTCAGCTCCCTGCCTGAAATCATAAACTTTTCCCTGTGAAGTTTTGGCTGATAACAAAACCAGGATTATTCTTTACCTGAAGGTAAAATAAGCAGTAAGGCTGATTCACTCCTGAGGAACAAAGCTGCTGTTGTCCCCTGTAATATGTGGGGGGCATTTCTAGATGTTTGGAAGCTCTGCCAGGAGCCTCTGAATGAGCTTGATTGATGAAGACTGGGRAAAGGGAAAGTCATGCCTAAAACCACTAATCTCAATTTACTTTCTTCCACTGCTGAAATATCTAGATGTCCTAGAAACCATGCAGGACATATTTCCCTCTTTCATGGGTGCAAATCAGGCTCCCTGTAACTTACTACTTTTGAACTGGCCTCTGGAAAGCTGCTCTGAAAATATTATGAAAGTGTCTCCATGTTGGTTTAGATCGTTTTTCCTCACTGACCAGAAACAAGAAYGGGGTGAGAGAAAGGCAGCCCTGCAAACTGCTCTGAGATGCCTGGGTCTCCTTTCCTGCTGAAGATAAGCACCACCTCCCGCAATCTGCTGCCYGAGCTGCTTGTGCGTGTGTTCCTTTTCCCATTGCAGTCCAAGAAGCATTTTGTTGGGCATTTCAAGTAGATGGTTTTTTCCACACCAACTTATTCTGTCTGACAGAGCGAGGAATTTCAGAGTGTTTCCTCCATATTCTAGAGTTCCCTTGTCTATTGCTCCTGTGCACACACATCTATCACCTTCCRTCCAGCAGACTTTTACTGAAAATCTCTGTATTTCTTGTGCAGTCTGTTACTGTTTGCCTGATGAACATATATGTCTCTTTTGGGCTCTACTTAAAATTGATTTATATTGTAGCAGGTAAAACTAAATTAGCACAGTGCTTCACAAAGGTGGTTTCTCTCAAAGTAAAGGCACTTAATACAATTAGGGCAAAGGCAARCCCTCACTGAAACTGGGAGTGCTGCCTGGTTAGGACTGCCACCACAAATAAAGACTTCAAATCTTTTACAAACTTAAAACTTTCGGAGGATGAAAAACTGCCTAGGAACTCTAAACAAGTCCTGCTGTGGTCAGAGCAGCCCTTAGGTGAGCGGTTACATTAGGCTGTGGTGYAGAGGACAATACCCGGGTCTTACTTCAAGCGTGCCCTGCTGGCAGGGTGCCCATTTATTGCAGTCAGACTGTGCTCCCACCASAGGTTCTCAGAGAACTGATCGAAGGGAGGTTGGGCACCACAGAGTCAGTTTGTCTGCCAGGGGCTGCTCTGAAAACAAGGTAACACAGGATTGGAGTCAGTGCCCAAGTACTATGCCAGCTCTTGTATTCTTCATTCTTTGTTTTTCTGTGCATTTTATGTTTTTCTTTCTCTCTCCTTTTGGTCCTGGGGAAGCTTTTACAGGGTAGTGAAGAAGCTGCACAAGGACCAATATACATAACCTGATGCAGCATCAGAGTTGCACAAAGATGTGCTAAGTTGCTAATTGTCCCTGTAAGTTTTGAGATAAAACTGGAAAACATTTTGTTAATCTACACACAGTGTCTCCTCCTCCATTGAAAGGAAGGGCTCCTTTCCASGTAGGACTTCATGCTCTGAGCAGTGCAGGTCATAAAGTGCTTTCCCTCCCAAAACCAGGGCAAACTTACCAGCAGCTACTGTTAGTGTCTTTGTCACTTATGCTTCTTATTCCTCCTTGCTCAATAATAAAATATTCTTTGTCACTCTAAACACCTCTAGTTTAATCAACACTTCTAGCTATTCTGAGTTTTATCCAATAAACCAAATAGGTTCTTTTGAAACAGGACATAATCAACAGGTTCATCTTCCTGATGTGTTTTCTTTTCTCTAGATGTAGAGATGCTTCAGTCAAAACCAGACACTCCAATTGACAGAGAGGAAGTTTCCCTAACTACAAAAGACTCCATGCTCCGCAAGTTTTTAGAAGGTGAGAGCTGTTGGGAGAGATGAGAACAGCACAATTAAGTAAATACCATTTGAGATTTCTGCTTGATCTGTAAGGATAGGAGCCAGCCCCACATCGTTTCATGAGAACAGCCTTGCCTTGGGGAGTACAGGCCTGTGAAGCTTGTGAGGTCATCTCACAAATGGAGTTCCTTCCTTACCAAGGATGACCAGTGATTTCAAATTCCAGGCCCTGCATACTAGTAAGGCCAAGCACATAGYTGATGTTTACTTAGGAATACCTGTCTTTTATTTCTGTGTAGGTTTTAATTCTGCTGCCAGTGAAATGGCCAGGTTGGTAGGAATGTGCCACACSGTGCAGCAAAGTGTAGATGAACATGCTGTGCAGAGTGTAGGAATGTGGTCAGCTTTTTGCTTCTTACAAACTTCTCCTTTTATAGGTAACAGTGTGCCAGAATCACAGGAAGGAGTGTACCAGCAGTGTGATGAGGGAGATCTCTACTATACAGTAGAACAAAATACTATTCCACAGGAAATGGCTAGCAGACCTCCAGTTCCTGTTCCAAGACCTGAATCCAGCTCTCCACAGCCAGACAATGAGCTGTACATCTCCAAAGGTGAGTTAGGTACCAGCTCTTAAACTGTAGGCTGACTTTGGCTCCAGGTGTCATTCTACATGTTTTCTGAAACCTATAGGTTATTTGGCTCTGGAGCCTTTCTCAGCCTGTAACAGCTGGATTACTTTTCAGATCCAGTTTCAGATCTTTTTTTTCCTACCTATTCTGAAAGTGTGGGGATGTTGTATCCTGAGGTCTTGACCTTAGCTGCTGCTTAATGAAAGCAGTAGGATAACAAATTTTCTGCAGCCAGTAGGAACAAGTCTAACTAAATGGGTGATATACGGCAAGGTCACAAGCAACCTAACAGACTGAGGCATTGTTCCTGTATAATGGCATCGATTCAGTGGCATTTGTATAGGATGTAGTTTTATATCTCAATCCCTCCTTCTGAGATGGGGTTTAATTTAAAGAAAGCTATGCATATTGGTTCCTAGGCATTTTTGAAAACTTGGTCATAAGATTTCAGAAGGTGCTAATAAGAATTCCAGTCAAGTGCAGGAATGTAATTTCAGTGGTGCTTTCTCTCCACCCCCCATTCTCCCGCTTTTCCCATGGGGGAGCATGACAGAGCTGTGAAATAGCACATGCAGATCTCTCTCAAAGAYGGCTGAGTTAAATTTTTTGAGGCCAATGGAAAGGGAGTTCTGCCATACCACTCCTTATTTAGTTTTCGCCCACGGGCTTTCATGAAGCAGCATAATGTGGTGCAGAATTTCTTGTGTTGAGCCTTACTATTTCTATCTTCCTGAGTTTTCTTTTCAGTGTCTAAAGTGTGCTTGTTTTACAGTTTTTGCACAGAAAGCTCAAAGACCTGAGAACTACTATGTCTCTAGAGGAAGGATTAAGAAAGGTAAGTCTGAAGTTTGCCCCAAAATGTTACCAGTAATCCAAGACCAAACCTGCTTGAAGTAGTTGTATGTGGAAAACATATKGGGTATGTTAAAATTACCAGACAAAGGATAACAGTTTTATATGAATGTCCTATTAAAACGTTAATTACCTTGTGTAACATTGGACACTTTTTATGTTTTCAGATTATGAGTAATATTTTTTATCACATCCTTTACATATGTATCCTCTCAGAGTTTGCCCTAAGACAGAACTGTAAAAAWCTCTGAAGTCCTTTTTTAATGGTGACCTATTTTATAGAGAAATGTTCCACTTCTGATCTTCTGGATATAATCGCTGCCCAACAATCAAAATGTCCTGGAATATAACTGTTAGTGAACTATTTCCCATTGATCTCTGTTYCCACATTGTGTCCTTATCTTTAACCTCTAGTCCTGTGCACTATCAGCTTCCAGGATCCACATTCTGGCTTTGATATCACATGCCGGGAGCTCTCCCTATGATGCAAATGAAGTAGAAAAACCTGGCATCAGTAGGATGGATTTTCGCCTTTCAGTTTCTGGAATTGCACTGCATAGATATTCTAGGAATAGTCCAGTTTTGTGACTGTGGACGTAAGGCTRTTTAGCAGTTTGCTAGGAGAGACTTCTGCAGAGGTGAAACAGAGCAATTCAAGGAGTACATCTTGTGCTGTTCCCTTAAATTATGCTTTTAAGAAGAGATTATCTCTAGGACATGTTGGCACCCAGTGCTAGCTCTGAGATGGTTCTTTTAGCCCCAACAAAAAGTTGGATGTCCTAAGGACAGAAGACGTGTGCTTAGGGAAGCATTTAATCCATGATATTAATTTTTTAGGCATCTCTTTATATTGAGGTTGCTTAAATATCTGTACTTCCAGTGCAAAGAATAGGTGCCATTAGTACAGTAACGTGTTTGGTGGTGGTGTTTCCCCAGAGCCAGCAGTGAGACCTGTAAGGGACCTGTCCCAATCGAGCATATACGATCCATTTGCTGGGATGAAAACGCCAGGTCAACGGCAGCTGATTACGTTACAAGAACAAGTGAAGATGGGAATACTCAATGTTGATGAAGCTGTACTTCACTTTAAGGAGTGGCAATTGAACCAGAAAAAGAGATCAGAATCATTCCGGTTCCAACAGGTACTGACTGCTTCCAATGTTTAAGAAGTGCAGCTGCCTCTCTATGTATATATCTTAAATATATCATAAGCAGTTTGGTGTGGTTCATTTCTTTCCCTGCTGGAGCAGGCTTTGAATGGCTTAGCTAAATAAGGGAATTAGTGTGCTGAGAGCAGTAACACTGCTATCAGCAGAACMAGTAGCCATAGCTTGAAGTCCTGATTCTCAGCCTCAAGTGCAGTTCCCACTTCAGATTGCTGCTTCTGGAGCTCTGTTCATACTGTGGAAAAGTCTGTCATGACGCTTGAGGTTCTGAGATTCTGTTTTGAGAGTGGTCAGGACAAAACCAAGATTTTTTTCCTTTTCCTCATACTCCCATGGGGAGAGTCTGTCTCTTCAGAAAGAACTCATGGGGAGCCCTTCTTCTGTAAATAAAGCAAGCAGCACTGCTCTCGTGGGCATCTGTGGCAGGGAGAAACTCTATGCCTGTGGCCTGTTGCTGTCTAAGAGCTCAAAGGCTGCAATTAATGTTCCTGTCACCTTCTCCTTCGCTTGAACCTCAGTCCTGTGAGCATTTTTCAAAGCCTCTCTTAAAAATGTTGCCTTATCTTACAATTGCTCCTTCTTCCCTACCTGTCCATGGACTTCTACTTCTGCATATGTCTGTATTTTTCTGTTGAAAGTATCTCTCCTTCCCCTTTCTTACAGTAAGGTGCAGTGTTCTGTCACATAAAGAGACTGTTACCAGTTACATTTACAGGCTTCCCCTCTTGCTTCTGTGGAAACGTCCTGAATTCTCTCTGAGCTGTTCCTTGCGCTCTGGCTTGTGTAGCAGCTTTCTCTGCCCCTGCACTCAGATTCACCTGTTTGTAAGTACAAAAAGGACTGTATAGTGACTTGAACGTGAGTCTTGTTTCTAAGCTAGTGTCACTAGCAGTAGAGATGAAAAATGGAAGGAATTCTAAACCAAATGTTCCTCTTATCTGCAAATACCATTGAGTCTGTGAACTTGACCTGAACATAAACAATGAACAAATGTAAAAAAAACTTGGCTTCTGAAAGGCATATGTGGATTTCTGAAGGGAATAGATTAAAGCCTGTTGACACGGCTTGGACTTCAGCCAGGTCTAGCAGACTTTCTTGTAGCTTTGTTGCAAAGTTAGCTGAAGTGTTACTGGCATTGTTAGAGCTGTTGAGCCTCATTTACATGAAGCCCTAAAAAGATACTCTGCTGATGTTTTTAGGAAAACCTGAAACGGCTACGAGACAGCATAACACGGAGGCAAATGGAGAAGCAAAAAATGGGCAAAAATGCAGGTAAGAGTCTCTGACTGACATTCTCTGGTGATGAAGTAGCTGATTACCTTTATAAGTTCTTCAAGCAGAAATGTGTCTGTCTAGTGTATTTGTTGTGTGATGTGTTCGTATTTACATCTATGTCAAAAAGCATCCAGAAAATTGTGACCTAARACATGGGGAAGCTGCTTTACTATGTTTTTGAGGATATGGAAAAGATGCTTACGTCRGTGGAGAAAATTGATTCCTACACGTACATTTATGATCCCCTTTACATGACTTTAGCTTTGTGCTGGGATGCTAAGCTATTTCTCAAAGACTAGACTTGCATGGTCCCTTCTGAGGTCTTTCTTTTGGATTTTTCCCTTCCAGATTTGGAAATAACTGTGCCCATTCGGCATTCTCATAACACTCTGGGGAAACCAGAATGTGGCATATATGAATATGCCCCCCGGAAAAACAYTTTGCCACAGAAAAAGGAGATAAAGCGAGGAGACTGGAAAACAGAAAGCACATCAAGCACAACAAGTAAGCAAATCCTGGGTGTCACCCCTCTCTACAGGGAAGCTGAATGGAAGAGATTTTCTCAGCCTGACTTTGGAGTCAGCTCAGGTACAGGACTTCCATTCCTGAATCTCCAGTGATGACAGTGCCACTCTAAATCCTACGTGCTTCAGATTGACTGTTCTTAAAACTTTAAAAGCAACTTCAGGTATATCGAGATGCTTTGACATGCAGCTTGCATCTTTCTCTACCTCTACAGTAGGAAAAAATGAAAGCTAAATGAAAGACTTTCCTGAACCTTTCCAAAGAGGGCATGTCYCTACTTGTCATTTCTTAAATATAGATGGCAGCTGCTCTCATAGAAGAGAGGATGCTCCCTCACTGTGCGCTTCCCAGGAGGCAGAGTGCAGTTCTGCTCTGAAGGGCCTAGCTGTGCTGCAATCTGAGAGCCAGTCCTCCACGTGCCCCTTCAGCTTTACAGATGGAGGACAACGTGTTTCACTGATGACAGTTTGGGACCTGAATTCTTGAATGATTTGGACCCTCCAGCCATTTTTATGATCTTTGCCTTTTATTAAGTTTAATCTGTACCAATTAAATCCCTGAATTCTCATCGTTACTGCAGACTTAGTAACTCAGAAATTAACATTGTTTTGGTCCTCTGAAGAGAAAATGGAGTCCCAATGAGGTTACTGCCTTTATGGCCCTTGGCAGGTTATAGCTGGCACACCTCTGAGGCARCRGTCAGAGGCACCTGATYGAAAAAAAAATAATTTGCTTATAAGCAGTTGTAAGGGAGACGTTAAACTGCCCGCAGAGTTCACTGTGTGCAGTTCGGCACAGTTTCCTATGGTGTGATTGTGAGAACAGACAGGAATGTTTGATATTTGTTGCTAGCAACAATTAACAAAGAAAGCTGCAAAAGCCAGGCTGGGGAGGTACTGCCATCTTCTGAGAGCCTCCTTTACCACATAGAGCGTTTTGAATATATAGAATTATGTCCCCAATATTGTACAGCCCTGTAAAATACAATATATTTATGATTGAAACCAGACAAAATAGCTGTTAACGATATGTTTGAGAGTTGCTATCCCTTTYGGAGCTGACATGACTGATCACAAAAACTTTCCCTAGTCTGAATCTACGCAAGTTAAATGGATTTGCCCAAATGGTTGCTGAAGTTCTTTGAACACAACTGTCACTTTTAGCCCTGGAATGGCCTAGGAAACATTCCTGTGATAAGCAGCTATCTTTGTGATGAGCAAGCAGTGGGAATGATAACCTCTCATACAGCCACAGCTATTCCAGTAATAAATGTGTAACAAGGTTCTGAACCACCTACCTCTGTGTAGCTGTTAACAGCCTGGAGATCAACAGTTTCAATACACATAAGCTTGGGCGTGTAGCAGTTGTGAAAATATTTATCTGACTTGCAAGCTTATATTGGCACCACACTCTTTTAAATAGATTATGGTTGTAGATATTCAAACATAACTCTGAACCTAGATAGGGGAGAAATCCCTTGAAAGGAAGGAAAACTGATTTAGTTTTGTGGTATGAGTTGTGTGAAATGTAGCTGGTAAGATCACGAGCATGTGAAAAGTAACAGTGAAAATAAAGCTTTTAGCAATTATTTAGGTGAATTTCTGAGAGGCATAAGCGTGAGATTAAAAGGAGTCCTAAGGTAGTGTTTTGCAACTGTCACCAGGATTTAATAACCAGTTTGTTTTTCTTGCTCACTAAACCTAGGTAGTGCAAGTAACCGCTCTAGCACTCGGAGTATATTGAGTGTCAGCAGTGGGATGGAAGGGGACAGTGAGGTAAGCCCACGTCTTTGTTATATATGTCCAGTGGCTTTAGTGTACATGGCTTTGTTTTCATGCAAAAGAAAAAGAGCTCAGGTCTGGCATTGTGTTTGGAGAAATGTCAAAATGTAGTCATCTRTGTTGTGAAGTCAGCAAGAAACGAGTTCTGCTGTGTGTAGCCCCTTCTGCACTCTTGTCATCTTCTGCTCTTACTAATGCAGTTYGGAAACTGTCTGTGCCATTAGTGCAAGCCACTTCTGCCTATTCACCTGCCTAGGTGGCTCACAGGCTTTAGCTGGGTAGCCAAGGTTAGTTTGTAGTCTCATTTCACAAAACACTAAGCACACAAATGCTGTATCACTAATAGCACATCTGTCTGCTTTCTCCATCACCTCTGTCTACAAATGTGAACTCATGCCAATGAGTTCAGCGCAGAAACTCTGTACCAGGAACAACACTGAGGGAGATGTGTGCTTTAGGGGTGAAGAAGCATTTTGGAAGCATTTGGATCCTGATGAGCTCTTTTTTTTTTTTTTTTTTTTCTTCCATTTCACAGGACAACGAAGTCCCAGAAGCAGCTAGAAGCCACAGCCCTGTTGCCCACCAAGCAGAGAGGCTGCCTCTCCCGCTGGCTGAAAGGCCTCCCCGAGTGCCTCCCCGAGGCGCCAGCAGGTAAAGCCGGCACGGAGCTCACCCATGAGCAGTGATACCTGCACTTGTTGCTGAATCATTGGTAACCTATTTTTTGGTAACCATCAGTATGTGCTGCCCTTCTTAAGTAACTGTTGTGTGTGCAGCATTCTTAGGTGGGTGGGATGTTGCTGTGTGCTGTACGGTGTCTCAAGATTCTATTTTGATTTTTTTTAATTCTTATTCTGTATTTTTTTCGTAGGCCTGTAAGCAGTGAAGGCTTTTACCCTCCACCTGTGCCCCCAAGAGGTCGCTGAATCTTTCAACATTCATGGAATATGATTTTTTTTTTTTATTTGGATGTATTTGTACAGATGTCTTTGGATTGTTTTAAATTATTTATAAGCAGGAGAGAAGTATTTTCTTCCCCTTCCTCCACCATAAAGCTCTRTGACCTTTCCCATGCTGTTTTGTTCAGACTTCTGTAGCTTCTTTGGAAGAATTTTGGTGCTTTGGGCATACAAGGAAAAGTATCAAAGTTGAGAAGGAGAATGCTGATGTGCCTTTTGGCAGCCCTGCACCAGCATGGAGTTTCCCTTTGATCAAGAATTTGCATCTTCTTAGAGATTAAACCTTGTTGATCGTTGTTGCCAAAAATCTCAGTACAACTTAAAAGAGCTTTACAGGAAAACATGTGTTAGAAAAGAAAAGAAAATCCTTCGAAAGACTTTGTTTGAATAACACTTATTACAGCAGGATATGGACACAATGAACTTTGAGAGGGAGTATAGTCTCCCTCAAACAATCATTAAACCATCGAAGGAGGAAGATGTACAAGGATGTTTCGTACCAGCCTTGAAAGTTTCTTTGCTCTTCCTCTTTCCTCTCTGAAGAGAACAGACATTAGCAGGGTGTTGTCTGTGCTATATTTGCCATGAAAATTCCCATAACAGCTGCTAAGGGACTTGCTTTGTCACAAAACAGCTGTACTGAACCCCTTTAACGGGGTAGAAATCCCATGACTGACCTCTTGAGTTAGGGGAAGGAATGAGCAGCAAGGCTTTGACCTTCTGTCTCGCTCGTGTGTGCTCTCTGCAGCAGCGATATGAAGCACTTCATGCTGTGGGACAGCATAGCCACTCTCCACTTACACACGTGCATGGCTCTCCAACACCAGCTGCGTGGTCAGCCTGGCCCATGGCAGACAAGCAGCCTGCTGGGGGCCTGGGCAGCAGGGCCAGAGAAAGGCTGCTTGCAAGCTGAGGAAGAGCATTTGTACCTGAGTACAGGGAGCACACCAAGCAGAACTTCATTCTCATCCTTCATTTCAAGGGGCTGGATGGTTGAAGAAGGGTGTGGGGCTGTGCACCTGTGTGTGTGTGTGTTTGTCCACGAATGACAGAGGTGAATGTTTAAGAGCATGTGGGGCAGATAATTGGTTTCTGAGCYGTTCTCTTTCTTCCAGCCCTCTGAAATGTGAGTGTTACATGATCTCTCATGTTCAGAGAGAACATACAAAGGTTCTCTCCACCATGTAAGCTCCCCCTGCTCCCTCCTGCACCTGAGCAGGAGCTGAAGTTGTAGCCCCTGTCTTGCAGTGCAGGAAAGCTAACACAGGCAGTTATGGGAGTGACAGAGGTGCAGCTCTGGTGACTCGGCAGCCCTTGAASAAGGGCAGAGGAGCCCCTGCTGCTTTCAGGGAAAGTTAGCAGAGGAAAGGATGTTAAAACAAATGAACTAAAAGCTGCCACTCAAGGGTTTCATTCTCTTTAGCTGCCACTTGTGCTTTGGATTGTACATGGTCCCTGGATTTGGCTCATGTTCCCCATCTCTTAGTCCTGACTGCAGCTCTGCTACAGAGCATGGAGCTGTAATGTGATAAGAATTTATCTGCTTCCACCTCTACCCAAGGTACACAGAGAGCCTCAGGCCATTCCCTACTCGTTTGCTTGTAAGTTCATCTGCATTGGTTTAGGGATCTCACTGACTATCGATCACAGCAAAACTACCCCTCTAGCCAGGAGAGAAGGAAAAGCACTGAAATGATTTCCCTGTCAAATGCAGGCAGATAACTGAGATGCAGGCATGGCTCTCAAGCCGCTTACATCTCTTCAYGTCTACCTCTCCTTAGCTGCCAGCTCGTTCCCATGTTCCAAACTGCTGTGATTTCACTGAGTTGCTCTCGGCCTCTTGCAGCTCAGGGGCTGGRGTCCTGCTGTGCTGGATGAGCGGGTGCTGCCTCAGCTCAGAGGAGACTGCAGAGGAAAACTACGTGCAGCCAAAGCCCTGGCTTCTCAAGGGCACGCAGGGGAGGGGGATGTAACGTTTCCAACCACGATTAGAGTYCAGGAGCAAGAACGGAGAAGATAGTTGCTGAAATTGGCGGTAAAAAGTAAGCGGCCTTTAGGGGTAGGGACGGGGACCAACCGACCAAGCCGTGGTGGAGCTGGTGGGTGCAGATGCGTTGGCTCCTTGCGTGGCAGAGGTGCCACCTCCCTCCGTGGCAGGGCAGGGGCTGGACCCCGCGTTCACTGAGAGACCCGAGTGCCGAACAAGCCGCGGGAGCCGCAGCCGCCGCTCCCTGTCCCCAGGGTCATCCTCGGCTTTGGGCTGAGGTGCAGCGATGAGAAACAAACACGCGACGTTATTAAAGCTGTCAGTTCTTAAAATGTAAATAGGGGTTTTGGATGGCTCATGACAAGCATTTCTCTCCAGAGGGACCTCGTGTCTCCTGAAATCAGCAGGAGCTTCTGAATGTCCTGCCTGGAAAAGGGCTGTTGTAAGCTTAGCTCCCTAAATTATTTTAGGGGAAGAAGAATGGGGTGTGCAAGACCACAAAGGGAAAAAGCTCTCACGGCTTTTTCCATGGTCGTTGGTAAGCAGAGAAGAAGYTTATTTCATTGTCTTTTGCACAAAGCAAGAATAGCTTATAACAGACGGTGGAAAGGAATCCCTTTAATTAACATCTGTATTTATTTGTTGGCTTGTGCAATATTTGAGAAGATGTAGCTCATGTTTTGGGCTATTTAATACCGGGTTTATTACATGTGATAACTTTTAAGAATCGCTTTTGTATTCATTCTGTATAAATGATGTCTGAACAACAGATACTTAATAGGGTGAGAGTCTTGGGGGTTTTTTTAATGTATTTTTTTTCTTTCTCGAACCGTGGCCTTTTAATTTAACCTATATTTAAATAAACGAACAGCCCCGGTGGGGCGGAGCAGCGCGCGCCCCCGCCCTGCGCCGCCCTGCCCTGTTTGTCCCTTCAGGGCCTCCGTAGGCGCGGCGCTTCCGGTGTGCGGCGGATGACGTGGCGGCGGGGCGGAAGTGGCGTCGTCGGTCGGCGTTGGCGGCGGGCGCGGGCCGTCTCGGCGGCGGGGCCTGCAGCGCGCGCGGGGACCCGACATGGCGGCGCCGGCGCTGCTGCT